AATGGGTAGCTGAGCTAGGATGAGGGAGGGGGGAGGCGGAATAATACCACAGCCTGCGAAATTTTGTACTTGGCGAAATTTTTTCTAACGGGAGGACGTGCCCTGACAGCTACTGCAGTGGCTAACTGCTCGCATTGCACCTTAGCAGTACTTCGGATAATGATACTCATATTGCTTTTAGATAGACGGGGCAGGATGGAAGGTGGCACCATAGTACCCTACGACTGAATGGTTAGCTTTCCCCAGGGTATGATTGGGAGTCGAGAGACTAGAATTGAATCCTGCTAGTCAACCCTTTCCCTCCTGGTCCCTCCCTCTGATGTCTCGGTTTTACTCATTTACTATCTCTAAGGTTTTTATAGTTGACCGACGCATGTTGGGAGGGGTCGCATTTTGGGTTCTGTGAAAAGCACTACCACGGGTAGCCCCTCTGAGGACGAAAAGATGACATGGTGCACTGCAATAAAATGTAGGGTGAAGTGGTGTACCTGGTGCGGTCAACTGGTCATGAACCTCACATCAAATTCACTGTAGGTTTTCTTCAAAAACAATCCTTCCTTTTACATAAACATTCTTGTGCTATTAGATATGTTTTTTATGGAATCCATTAGTTAAGTAGTTGAGTCTCTGATGAATGTTGGCAAAGTTCCAGGGTCGTGGCTTCGTAATTGAATTCACCTACGAGGCGGCTGTTTGGCGAAGCTCCGAGGGTGAGTGTCTGCCTACTTCTCGTCCTCACTGGCTCTCTCAACGTCCTCATTGATTAGGACATGCCGAAAATGGTGTCTTCTTTACAATGTCTTTTAGTTTTCACTTTACTCGGAGGTAAGCTCTGAGGCTTTTACACGGGATTAATTTTTTGAAGGCTTCTTGTTTATTTTATTTTTTATTCGGTTTTATTTTGTCCATCGGGAGGACATATATCAAGAACCTTAGGTTATTATTTCAATTTTCTCGTTCAAATTATTATTCTGATGACTCCAGTCATTCCGTTATTACTTATTTTCCTTACATGCTATCTAGGCTTCATGACAGCGCTTCGATTTCCTGATTTCTAGAAAAGCAATTCTCAGAAGACAAGGATCACCCACGCCGCTAGGTTCAACAGGGGTAATGGAAAATTTTAATGTAACGAAAAAATGTTTCGGCCATGGAACGTAGAGCTTATCAGATAGAATGAAATATGATTGGGTCAGTGGACATTTCATGGCCTCAGCCTTTATATCTCCTAGTTCTGTCACATTGCCGGAACCTGTCTGGTTAGATCTCAGAAGTCGAAAAGTCTCAGAAGGTTAGGCAGTTTTGTCTGTTCGTTGGTTGTTAAGTAACAGTATTAAGCGTCGCCTAAGCCACGAAACGACCAAAGAATCCATTCGACAGACCAAAGTGGTCCCTGTTGAGCTAATGCTTTTCTAAACGGCGAATGCGCTTAGTACGTTTCCTCGCTGGCAAGCCTTTTGTTGGCTGATAATCATAGAGGGAAAAATTTCGTTGACCTTGGACCTTCTCAGTTTTCATTAGCGCCATGCAGTTCCCCGCTAGGGCACATAGCTACATTTGGTAATACATGGTATTGAGAAGATCTTTCTTTGCTACAGGAAACCTACAATACAATTTCATTTGAGGGGACTCAAAGGTGCTGATCTGATCCTGTCACCTCCACCTTCGAAGTCTTCCTCTTTCAGGGGAATTTCTATAAAAGTGCTTGAGAGACTATTACCCATATGTAGTTCAGGGATATACTTGCCGACACTGCTACACTAAGTAACACAATACAAGGGAAATCCTTTACTATGTATCCTTTCCTCTGCCATTATATTTGCAAAATCCATCCTAGGCCATCGAAATTCCCCCTGGAGGGGGAACGGTTAGGACTCCACGAGAGGTCAGCCTGCCGCCGCGACGCGGCAGAGGAGAAGTGGGCCTCGCGATGTTTTCGCTATCTGCGCGGCGTTTGCATAGTCCGTTAGTGCATGAGTTCCATAACAGTCTGCTTTATACTATTATTTGCAGGTGTGAAAACTACGGGAGTGGGCCCGATGTTCAACTATTAGTATAAAGCAATGTCCATTTACATAGAAATAATATTTAGAGAATACATCAGCAATCTCATACAATAAAATTCAACATTACGTGTGACTCTTTCTTGCACTCCTTTGCAAGGTATTGAAAAAGCGACTAAAGATTGCGGCCAGACCGGAAAAGTAGGATCTATAACGAAATACCAGCATCTTGAATAAGTACAGCCGCGATCAATAAATCTTGACATGCGCATTGAATATTCTAGTTTGCCAAAACGCCAAGCCAGATTTGCGTGATGCCGAAGGGACGCGGGATCGTTAAAAGCACGACTGTTATGGCCTGTCCAAAGGCAGCCAACGCCACGCGCGCTGGCGAGGGCGATAACAATGGCTGCCGTGAACCTCTCGTGGAGTCCTTAACCTACACCCCCTGGAGTGTGAATTCACTCAGACCCGTCCCAAAGCAAGTCGACTTTCGAACGCATGAGGAGGATGCCACATCTGTTGGAACTATATGATAAGAAACTGACTTCACATGCGGCCGGGTGTGCCAAGACGGCACCACTTGTCGCTGCGCGTGAGGCATCCAGGGAAAGGGCTGGGTTCGGCTTGGTACCGACCGTGTTCTTTGCCGACTGGCAGCTGGCAGGTGACTAGAATTGATGAAGAACAGGCTGGTGCTTCGTCAAACCCAGCCTCAATGACACGCCCCTCATCCGCAGCGAACCACACTGTACACGGGGGGCAATAAAAAACGTTCCACTTTTCTCCTTGACTTCGAGGCGACATAGAAGTTACACTTTATCAAACTTCCTGATCGGACTTCCACACCATCTTTAAACGCAGCATATTAGATGACCTATCGTGACTACTCCGCCACCACTTCCGAGCGCCATCTAAGACTTCTGCACGCGCCGCGATGCGCGTGCCTGTGATCACGAGAATAGTAACTTCTCCGCCTACCGTAGACCACTCCTGTTGAACCTCCGCCCGACACGGTAATCCTGAGGGGATTCGCAGGTCAAGGCTGCACCTACTTGGAATTCCATCGTCCTTTAAGTACTGCCCCCTTCCCATTCCAGTAGGCGAGAGCTTTTGCAACGCCTTTCGATTCAGTGTGTGTCACCCAATCCTGTAGCAGTACAAAGTTTCCAAGAAGGTACGGGCGACGACATGTGGAGAGGATATTCTTCTCGAGTTGCTCGATGTAACCGCCAGCGCTCACCTTCAGTCCGGGGTCCAAAGAAAATATCGGTCTTTCCATTCCAGGTACGTCCGGTCCATACCATCAACCCGCGCCTTGGCGACTGCGGTGAAGATGATGTCCTAGACCGTGCGACGTTGTCGGAGCTGCTCGATGTTGGAGGTCTTCCAGATCGAGAGTACTGGTCTCCAGGTAGCTATCCATGGGTGACTCCATACTAGAGCTGTTTGGAGGTGACATGAATTCCAAAGGTCTTCTCCAGTCAGGCTGCGACTGGAGATGACTTCATATTTTGGTGTACATGAAGGTGATGGGCGAGAGCCAGCTCCTGCTTATAGAGGAACATCTTGGGTATCTTCCGCCCTGGTACTCGTATCCACGTCCTCTGTCTGGGCTGCGAAAACTTTGCTGATATGTGACTCGGCCTGTATGTACCCGGCGTTTCCGTTTTCAGCGAAAATGATTCTCGTGCTCAGGAAATCACGAAGTGAACGACTGCATTTCCGCAGAAGTTCCAGCAAACTCGATGTTCTGGGGTGTTCTGGCACATGCACTTATGTTAGCCAAGTGGATGTGTTATCCGTGTAAATGGGGTCACCCTTCCCTTGGGGACAAAGCTTGCCTGATTCCACTCCTGGGAGAAATTTTGATTGAATTGGCTTTTTTACCAACCGCTTAAAGGCATATGGCACGATAATTTGGTACTCGGTCTACAATGCTAGCAGGGTGCTATATAGAGGGAAAATGGCGAAAAAACGAAGTGAAACGGTCAAAAAACTGCGAAAAAGCCTTCGCTCCTAATGACTCAAAAAGCAATTTCGGACGAGTTTCCCGTAGGCATCTTGCCAGTAACCGCTACGGTAGCTATGAATGCACGTATATATGCACTCCTATATCCAGCACCGCGGCCGCTTCATATCAATCCCTTCGATTCATATTTCACGTAGCAAATGAAGCAATAATGATCAATCAAGTACGATCGTCCCCTAGTGGGCGAGCGTGGTGGGCGTCCGGGTCGGTATGTTGCAGCTTGATAGGGCTTTATAGCGGTACCTCCCTTGGAAAAGATACGCAGCGCCTGCTCAGGGGCGCGGAATCCCGTCCTGCCAGGCGTATCAATCCTACTCGTCTTAGGAGTTTATATCACCAACCGCCTTTATCATCAGGGTGAATCGCCATCAGAAAAGCTTTCCTTCGAGCTATCACACCTGGTGTATGTAGGTACCGACTGATCCTAAAATTATAGTAAAGCGGCTAAGTAGGTGGAAACATCAGTGAACTCATGCTCATCACCCTAATACGGGCGTGCAGCAATTTTATCGTAGTGCTCGGTCGAGGGAGACGGTCAATTCTATTGCGGGCTCAGGAGGACGCGCCGCATCCGGCTAACCGCGCGACTAGTGGCAACAGCAAGTTTCAGAGTTGTTTTACTATTTATAAAAGTTGTCGTCGGCGTGAGAGATCTTCCCTATGGTCCTCAAAAGCGACTCAATCGCCGCGCTGCGCTCAGCCGAGAGCCGTGCTAGTGGGTGAGCTAACCAGGAAAGGTCAACAGGTCAGCCTGGCCATTTGCAATGAGATGC